TCTCTCTCTCTCTCTCTCAGCTTAATTTTTATAACCAAATATTAATTAAATAATTATCTATTTTATTTAAAAATATGTCATTCTTGTACATCAAAAAATACAATAATAAATATTTTAGCAAAATATATACTCAAATTTTATACTAACGCTAGAAGTTAAATGATTTTTAAAAAATAATTACTCAATTAAAAATAATTTGTAAAAACATTTAAATTTTTGCCAAAATAAAATTAAAAAAATTGTACAGATTTTAAATAAATTTTAATTAAAAAACAATACAAAAAATACAAGAATTTTTGTTAGAATGTACATTTACTCAACATTTCCAAAATTTTCAACAGTGTCGGGAAGTTTGGTCGGTACGCCCCAGTTAGTTTTTGTGGGCGACGGACTAATCTGCGTTGGATTAGTACCATGCGGCTTGCGACGTTGCTCTTCACCTTTGTGCTTACCTGGAAAAATAAAAGGTTCTAACATTATAGTTAACTGTAAAGTATATAGTTGTATATCTTACTTTTGGTAGCTTTCTTATTCTTATTACCGGGTGCAGAGCAATAGGGGTCCGGATGTGCCTCTGCCTGGGCTACCTTTAATTGGTAACAAATAGCGATTATAATTAACGCAAAATAACAATAATGATGAAATAATGACATTTTTTGTTTTGCATGTATAAAATCACATATGGCGTGATATAATTGATAAAAATTTAATTATAATTATAATTTGATGTAATGATTTTGTAAAACTTATGGTTTAAAATGTAATTTAGATTATGTAATATATAAATTGAATAATAACAGTTTGTGAGCGTAATTAATATTAGCGCTATCCTGTGTCCACCAATAATAGTTTTGAACGTATTGGCAAACGCGGGCCATAGATGTAACATGTGTAATGCCAACATGGGTAAATCTATTTCAATGCTAATCCTATGAGTAATGCTAAGTCTATAGAAATAATGTTATTCCAGTGAAATAGTGCTTTTAAAAATAAATTTATTAATTTAATTGAAAATTTTTATTTAAAAAAATTATTAATTACATTACAATGATACGTGTTGCCGTTGATTAAATATAAATTCTATGTAAAGTAAATTCTTTACTTTATTGTAAAATGTTAGATAATATTTATAATGCCAAATTATACTAACATAAATAATTATAACGCATTTAATTTGCAAGTTTTCTCATCATGGTTATTATCGGTTTTTATGTCACATAACTTTTGTATAATAGCCGCAAGGAAACAATCTCCCATAATATTAGTCATAGTACGTAACCTTTCCCTAAACATAATAAATATGCAAATAATTTAATTTTAAAAATTATAAAATAAATTAGATTCTAATAGCATATATAATTATAATAAATTGACATTATATACATTAGCCAATCCATTGTCATAATGTAGGCAAGTATATCCAGCGGATTATTTACACCAATGATAGCACAATAGGCTAAAAATGTTACAATTGATGACCCACCAGTCGGAGCTCCCGGCAGTGACATGGTCATAATAAGTGAAAATATGCTAAAATAAAATAATAATTAACAATTTTTTAAAAAAATATTAATTAGGTTAGAATAGCGACAATGTTGTTTTTTAATACGTTTTTGTAAACTTACCATAATGTTACCAGCATTTGAAAAGTAATTGGCAAACCATGCATTTGAACGACAAATAGGGTGGCCATCGGGTAATACATTGCGCTTCCATTCATATTGAGTGTCATTCCCAATGGTAGTACAAATTGCGAAACTACCTTGGATAATTTATTTTTACCCTCCATACACTGTATTGTAACCGGGAGAGTCATTGCACTAATAAAATGACTAGTATAACTAAAATATTATTTATTAAAAATAATGTTACATACCTGGAAGAAGAGCCAAATGCTACGACAACTGCTGGAATGATATTAAATAAGAATTTATACGGATTCTTACGTATGATTGACACATATATGATCGGGTATAAAATAAACCAGATTGTCAAGTGGCCAATAATAGCTGTACCAAAAAACCAACCCAATTGAACTAGAACTTTTTCTGGGGATTTCATTTTAATTGCTTCTACACACATCCAACAAAACATCCCGATTGGCATAATTCTAGAAAATTAAGCATAATACATTAATAAAATATAATAAAATATAATAATAATGATTACTTAATTAAACCCATCATTAAATTCATAATAATAGCGTTGGTTTCGTGTAATAACTGGCGAATAGTGTCTGCCTTTGAGTCCAATTGCAAAACAGCGAAACCCAATATTAGTGAGAATACACACAAACCCAACATATTTGGCTTAAAGGCCCGTTCGGACACTTTCTTGTAGCCCAGGGTCAGGTTGTGGGGGTCGAGGGCTACCAGTGCTGTATAGTGTGTCGTAAATGTGGCCGCTATTATGTTATCCGGTATTAGATTCCTAATCAAACATTTGATTTAAATATAACTAAATTTATATTATATAAAATAATTATTAATTAACTTACATAAACAGGTCGTAAATACTCTCGTCTTGGCTGGAAATCATTTGCTTAATGTCATAATCACCGACCGATTGGTGTTCGCTATATGGGGGTTCGCCATCCGACAAGTCCCGCACTCCAGGCTTAATAACACACATTAATATTGTGCCAAATATCGCAGCGCACGATGAAAATAGTATTACAAATGCAAACGTTAATACAATTAAGCATTGATGTAAATTAAATATAAATTTCTACCCATTTTTATTATATACATTAATTTAATTAGTATTCTTATGGTACTTATTATAAGCCCTAATTCTTGTAGTTATAGTAAATTTTTAATATAATTTACTGCACATGTAATGTAGTATACTATAGAGTAGGGATCGGCAAATAGAGGTGTTTGCCATAAATTATCCCATAGATGTCCCAAGTGTTCCATAGATTATAATGTAACTAACTAGTAGGGATCTTAACGGGTAACCTACCATGGTAGATAATTGCCGATCACTAGTAATATGTAATTTGTTTAGCAGTTTTTAATTTTACATTTATGTTCATCATACTTGTTGCCAATGAAGTGACTATTAGTGGCACAATAATCATCATGAATGCTCTTATAATTAGTTTACCTGGAAGTCCAATATATATCAATAAAACAGGATTTATAACAAATAGTGATTTTAGTATAAATCCAAATATAATTCCTAAAATAGCGGCCACAATGATTAAGATCGAATAGAGATTTTCCTTGCACCATGCCTAATAATTAAGATATAAGACATAATCATTAAGTTATTTAATGTTATAAAGTATTTTATATTTTACCTTAAACCTTTCTAAACTCATTTCTGAATTAAATATTAATATTAATTAACGTTGGTATAACTTTTAAATATATTTAATAGTTTTAATTAAAACACATCTAGTATTGTGACAACTTCACTCATTTGTGTCATTGTATGTATAAATCTCAATGTTATGTAATACAATTTTTAAGATAGTACTTTTTGATTAAGATAAAAATTTATTTAACCAGATTAATTGCACCCAAATTTATCATAATAAATATTTTTTGTGTATTTTATTATTTAGTAACCTAAATATTTTATCATTACTAAATCTACTTTATTTAATTAAATTATAGTGGCAATATCATTTTAATTTTCTGGAAATATTATCACAATGATTGTTAAAATAAATTTAATACACACTGTAACTTATGTATAAGGAAACCAGTCATGTTTTTCATATATATTGCAGTATGAGTCAATTGTGTATTTTCATCATAAATACAACACTCATAAGCAAATAGACATATTAATAAACATCCTATTACACTATAATATATACTTTTTACCCCTAAAGTTCCCCTAAAGTGGTTTGCTTACTTATGTAAAATATGACTATAAAATCAATTTGCCTTATAAATAGTTAGCCTTAACTCAAGGATAATTACCATGTGGTAATTCAAAATATGATTAGGATGTGACAAAATATACAATAAATTGATTGTGGTAAACATATCAGTTATTTTTTAAATGACATAAAGCAGATTAAATCACAGACATTGATGCCTCATGTTAACATCATATAAATATTTGTTAAATAACTAATACAAATATTTATTCAATTAATTGATTTGAAAAATATGGTATTTGAAAAACTTAAGGTAAGTTATCATTGGACCATTATAAAGTATAATTTACCTTGTTGTATTTTAAATACAACAATGTCAGGATTGGTGCAAAGCCAACGGCCCGTCGCTATTGATTATCGTGAGCGCCGTTTTGGGACTTTGTTTCGGGTTTATATTGAAGTCCGTATTCACTATAAGTCCCGTTGTGTTGACATATATCGCACTTCCGGGCACTTTGATTATCAGAGCTTTCATGATGATCATTGTGCCCCTCATTCTAGCATCCCTGGCCACCAGTATGTATACACTATGAAGTATAATGTATTAATTATTCAATTCAAATTGGGATTATTTAAAAGGCATTACTGGCACAAAACGTGGTGAAAATAAGCGCTTAATTATATGGACATTTGTTTTGATTGTGGTATTTTCGTCATGTTGTTCAACATTTGGCGCAATTATGGTCTCAATTATAAAACCCGGGGTCAGAAACATGTCTGAGATTGTGGCCAATGAGGACAACCCCAGCGATGGTCAACACTCCCACGAGTTTGATATCAAACAAATGATCTCAAGTCAAGACGAAAGCATTTATGATGTGTTTATGTTTGTATTGTTATTAAGAGTAATTTATATATTAATTTTCCATTATTATTTCAAGGAATCTAATACCGGATAACATAATAGCGGCCACATTTACGACACACTACACAGCACTGGTAGCCCTCGACCCCCACAACCTGACCCTGGGTTACAAGAAAGTGTCCGAACGAGCCTTTAAGCCAAATATGTTGGGTTTGTGTGTATTCTCACTAATACTGGGTTTCGCTGTTTTACATTTGGACTCAAAGGCAAACACTATTCGCCAGTTATTACACGAAACCAACGCTATTTGCATGAGAATACTATTGACATTAATCAGGTTTTTGAAAAAGATATAAATCAATTATTCTCTATCTTTCTCTCTAAATATAAAATACATAAAATAATTATTATGCAGAATAATGCCAATCGGTATGTTTTGCTGGATGACTGTACAAGCAATTAAAATGAAATCACCTGAAAAAATTCTTGGTCAATTGGGGTGGTTTTTTGGCACAGTATTTCTGACATATGGGTCCATTTGGTTTATATTTTATCCGACAATATATTTCTTAATTATACGCAAGAATTGTTTCAAAATGTATTTTAATATTATTCCTGCTCAAATTATAGCTTTTGGTTCATCATCAAGGTAAATTATTTAGAAGGTGATCTAGATATTAATATTATGTATTTTGGTTAGCGCACTAACATTACCAGTTACTATGAAATGTATGGAAGAGAAAAATAAACTATCACAAACTGTGTCGCAGTTTGTATTACCTTTGGCGATGACCATGCACATGCCCGGTGCGGCCACATATTACCCCATGGTTAGTTTGTTTGTGGCACAAATGCACGGCATGATCATCACGTTTCAGATAACAATCAGCCTGGTGTAATTATTTCATAAATGTTATGACTTATTTTATAAAAACTATCAAAATTTTATTTTTAAATTTTATCTAGTATATTCTGCGTGATTATGTCTATGGCACTACCAGGTACACCATCGGGTGGTTCATCATTGATATTTTTTCTTACCACGTGCTCACTAATTGAGGTAAATAACCCAATGGATGTCTTGGTGTATACTATGTCGCTTGAATGGTTTTTGTAAGTAAAATAGTTAATTGGTGTGATTTAATCAATAACAATTATTATTGACCAATATACCCAATACATTATATCATATATTATATATAAATATGAGTTTAAATTTTATATTTTAAAAATTGTAAAGTTAATTTCTATTTAGTTTATTTATTATTTTATAGTGAAGGCATACGAACGGCGACTAATATCACCGGCGATTCAGTAATTGCATCGATTGTACAAAAACTATGTAAATTATAACAAGTAAAATCTGACAGCCTTCAAAATATTTCATAATAGTTATTTATCCCATCATTTATAACTAAATCATAATATCAGAATAATAATTATCATTTGAAATAATAAATAAAATACGTGTTTAGAAAGAAAAATAAATTTAGCATTTCATTCATTTATCTTTAATAAATTAATAGTAAACAATGCATTTGATTTATCACTAAAAATAACTATAACAATCAACGTTAATAACAATGTATAAACAATCACACCTTTCTCAATGCTATAACATGCTATGATTAAATTACTGTATGTGTTTATAATCCGGGTTATAATAATTAACAAACAAGATAAGTTGTCAAAATAATTGTTTGTTTATATGTAATATTAATTTTTGTTTACAAAGACAATACCCTGTTATTAAGTGAAGTAATAATATATACTGTACCGTATTTAACACGGATATCAATATCTACGCAAACAATTCAATTGAAGGTCAAATAAAAGTAAAAATAATAAACAAAACTTAAAAGTATATAAGGATTGATACTCGGCATCACTTTATCAAAAAGTGAAAACAGTTTATAATAATAATTAATCAAAAATATTATAAGTTTTTATAATAAACTTTCTTTTATTAAATAACTACAAACAAAAATTATTAAATAATGAAATTCATTTCACAATCACTGATCGTAGTTGTTATTTGTTACGCTATCCGTAAGTAATTTTTACTAAATTAATTTGAAAACATAAAATATTTATAAAAACAATTAAAAATTCTAACTTTAAAAATTTAAATAATACCTAGATGAATGTAGCGCTGGTGGGCCTGAAATAGTATCGGCCGCCCGATCGCAGATAGGGGTGCCGTACAGTTGGGGTGGCGGCAGTTGGAAAGGCAAGTCGTACGGCATCGGCAAAGAGGCTCATACTATAGGCTTTGACTGCTCGGGTCTGGCCCAGTACGCCGTGTATAAGGGTACCGGTAAAATCATCCAGCGCGTTGCCGACGCTCAATACGCCGATGGTAAATGCAGCAAGGTTGCCTACTCGGCTCGTCGCCCTGGTGATCTGGTGTTTTTCGGTAGCCCTCCCTATCACGTGGGTATTGTGGCCACCAATACAAACAACATGATAAACGCGCCCAAAACGGGTGATCACGTTAGAGAAGCAGCTATTTACTCGACCAATAGACAGGCTTATGTTAAACGGTGTTAGCTTACGGTAACATTATGTATCTATAACAATTTATTATGTTTTGTCAATTTGTAGCTTACTCTCAGTATTTAAAATTGTAATATTTTTGTTTTATAAATAATTCTTTTGTCTATCCAAACTTAAGATACTTACCACTTACTAACTCAATGTTATACAGCTATAATTATTTAATTATTTAATAATAAAACTTATTAATACAAACATTAAATGGTTAATTTGTATATTTGATTATAATTTTAATGTAAATGTCAAAATTTATTAAACTTATTGATAACTTTAAAATAATAGTTGTTGTTGACTATAACTAATTGAAGTTACCGCATAGTTTCAAATGTTTTTATGTGTTTAAACTCATAAATTTGCCCAAATATTTTAAACTAGTAAATCAAGTGAACTACAACCTGCTACCAATTAGAGATATTTTATAATTATAAAAACTACACAAACAAGATCATTTATTTGGAATATAATTATCTTACTCGTAAGTAAATACTATAAATTTTATTATTAATATTCAAAATATAATTTGTATTTATATTAATATGCATAATAATAAATTATCTTGTTTACTCTGTGTACTGTACATATACCTTTTCAAGTACTCTTGGTTTATATGCACTCATAAACATAATAAAACAATACACACTATTTTATTAATATCTAGATAACATTTGCATTTATATTTTGTTTATTATTGTACATAATATCTTAATTAAATACACGTATAATCAGCAATTTTAATTTACATTTCTTATTATTATAATAGTTTTTACCTAATTCAAAAACATAAACTATTACGCTTAAAGCCATACAAACGATATAGATTATAAATAAATCATCAATACATGCCCAGTTAATTGTTTGAAAATTTACAATCTCTTTTTCAACAATATCCCTAGTAAAAATTCGTGTTTGTGTGCTGGTCATTTTCAGCATGTTGTCATTCCATTTATTTAATAAACCATAAGCTTGAGACTTAATTATTCTATTTATAAAAATAAATATTTATTGCTTTCAATCACAGATAATAAGTAATTAATTCAATAAAAGCATTATAATTTTTTGTCAAATTAATTGTTAGTAACAATAATACTTACAATTGATCAAACTCATTTAACATTGATTTATTAATATCATGTTTGGTAACAATAAAATACGGTTGAGATAGTAGTGAATTCTGAGAAATATGCAATTGGGTTAAAAGTGGAGTTGATTTGTCGCTAAACATTGTGTCTAATAATCTAACATGATCAATTAAGGATCTTTTTCCTAACATAAAAGCTAATTTGCCGGTTTGAAGTCCAATAAATAATTCACTCAAAAACGTAACATTAGCCAAATCAACATAGTCAAATGGGTATAGCCTAGTTTTAAAATCCAAAGCCATTGGGCTCTTGTTTTCATTTGCAAATTTTGTCATTGGGCCCGATATTACTGGATAGATTTTAATGTGCTTGTACTTGTACAAATCATCCCACGAATCAATTATTTTGTCCGGTAATACAATTACCAATTTATCGAGAATATAATTTTTATAGTTTACTGCTAGTATAAATGTACCAAATAGCCAACATGCTAATATTAGCCTTAATCTTGGTTGATTATATTTATTAATTGGTCTAGGTAGTTGATTTGTAATAGCAACCCTATAAAGGTGACATAGTATTAACCAGTTTTGTTTGTATAAAACTACTAATATGGCAGCAATTGTAAAATAACAAATTATTACAAATGTTATTATTGATGTGTCAATTCCGGATATGTAGTTAAACTGAGTTCTTTGACCATGGTATTTTCTGTATGCAATATGACCGAGTTGTTGATAGTCAATCACTACAGAGTGGGCAAATCTTAGCCCAACCGAACCGCCCATACCTTCAAAGTAATACTTATAAGTTGTTATACTAATAGCAACTAGAACGAAATCCGGTGGGTTATGAACAAATATATCATAAAGCTCCGTTAGCGATGATCCAGGTGGAATTAATCGTATGCTAGTTAAAGGTATGCTATTTTAATTAAATTATAATTTAATATTTTTAGGAATTACCTAGATTTTCGTTGCTGTGCAAATGTATACAATAATAACATCAATGAACCGCATACACGATAATAACTAATGTTGTTATAATTGTTTTGATCGATCATGATAAATGGTCTTGTTTTCAGTGGCATAAATGTAAATATATTTTGTAATAAGATGTTACTTTCAGACATCATATTAATAGTATAATTCGTGCTCTTAGGAAAATCTATGCAATTATTATTAAAATTCATTATGATAAAAAACAATAATAAATTTACTATTTTTTATATTGATATTTCTTGATAATAATTTAATAAGAAATAACAAACATTTGCTATTTTCATAGTTTTTTTATAACTAATTAGTTTTCTCGTAAATATTGATATTACATTATTTATATTGTATATCAAATGGCAATATTAATAGTTTATTAATAATAAAATTAGTCTGCAAACAATTACTGAATTGTGTTAATTTATTCTAACAGTTGTAATAATACTTATAATTTGAAATTGTTATAATTTATTATATTAATAGAAATAAAGTACTTTATATTAAATATATTATACTAACAAATCAATATAACATTTTATATATCTTAATAGGTAGTTGACTTGTAACAAAATTATAATGACCTTAAATAAAAATAATTTTATGAATCCAAAATAAAAATCCTTTTATATATATTAAATTATATTAATATTCATTTATTGTAAGTAAATTAACTAAAATATGCATATCATTTACATTAATTATCAAGATTAACATTGAAAAAATTTAGGTTTACTCGAACCTAAATATCTTTATAATACAGTAAACAGTATATTTTAAACTCCAATTATTAATATTAATATTTTATAATTGTTTTAAATGTGATATGCTAAAACATTCTACTTTAAACTGATTTATTTTATAAACTCTATAATTTTATTTTTAATTGTAATATACAACTTGTTATTTTTAGATTTTAAAATAAATAAGTTGCAAATAAAAAGTTAATTTACACGTAATCTAAACAAAATTATTTAAATATTATTTGGATAATTGATAATTTGATTATATATTTATCATTTTTACCTTTATATATAAAAACGTTAGTAGGAAATTAGCAAATAAATTTAGTATTTTAAGTATTGTTAATTTACAAATTATTTATACATTTAAAAAGTACATAAGTTAATAATTCCAAAATAAATATACCAGTACAGACAGATATACCCAACAAATAAATAATGAATAAATCACTAATACTATATAATTCAATCTGATTATATGTACATGGAATATGGTTATTTGATGTGTAGAGCAACGATCCTGCATTAATATTAATTAATTTCATCATGTTAGCATTCCACTTCTCCATTAGACCATAGGCTTGCGTTTTCATTATACTATTTAATTATAAATTATTATTATAATGTACTTAATTTATATACATTCTAATTTATCATGCTTACAACTCGTTCAAATTCATTAGCGGTGATTGATTTTTCTTATCTGTAGCCAACATAAAGTACGGCTGGGAGTCTGACCCATATCTAGATATATGTATTGTCTTTATAATGGCTGCGTCACCATGGTCAAACATGGCGCTATAACGCAGGATCTGGCTAATTAACGACCGGTACCCACTTGTATAAGCTATGGTTCCGCTGACCAATCCTATGTAAAGCTTGGAGTGAAATGTTTTATCAGTATAGTTTAAGTGCATAAGCCAACGCAGTCTGGACTTGAAATCCCTGGCCATTTGTTCTTCGCTAGTATCGGCATAATGAGCTAGAGCACCCACTCTGGGAGCGTAAATTTCAACGAGTTTAGTTTCATATAGATCAGCCCATGTGTCTATTACTTTATCAGGTAACTTTATAACCAATTTGTCTAGAATGTAATTACGATACGTTATGGCAAATATATATGTGGCCAATAACCAGGAAAAAATTATTAAGCGATTAGCTATTGACTTATTGATTGTTAGTGACCGTGGTAATTGTGTCGTCAGAGCAACCATATTAAGGTAAATTATAATTTCCCACAATCGACCCCAATTAAATTTGTACAGTTTTACCAACATTATAGACAGAATAATGCCAAATATAGTGCCGCAAATTAGTGAACTGCTGTCAATACCCGACATGTAGTTGAAAAGGCTTTACTACCAGGATATTTTCTGTACGCGATATGACCTCGTTGTAAATAACCAATTATATTTGTGGGATAGAACTTCTAACAACTTGTTACAGTAATTATACTCACCTCATTCTCTGGTGCTATGAACCTGTAACTTATTTGCAATGATTTATTTTGCACCAAGGTCGCGCCCCATCCCGCCATCATAGCATACTCGTGACCGGTGTTGTTAATGCCCTTTTCGGGCAGACATATAGAGTTTCTCAATGCGTGCTCATTGTGAGCATCGAGCACCATGTCCATTTCGGTATTCACCTTCATCAATCCTATGTCGTGGTTGGTTTTTGTACCGCCAGGGTAATTAATCATTTTAACCACCTTATAGTGCTGTCTGCCAATAGTATCATTTGATAGAAAATCGTACCCGTTATAAATGAGTGTTTCATTTGATCTAGTTTGGTTAAATCATGTAAAGTAAATTAGTTTCGACTTGGGAAAATATAAATATTATTGTTTACTTAGGATTAATGCAGTGACCAGCTGTTAAGATCCAGAACTTGTGTATAATTGAGCCAGTACAAATATTAACATCAGTTGTGTTATAACTTTTGTAAATATAATTAAATTAATTATTATATTATCGCAATAATTAATAATAAAATACCGGTGAGTTAGCGTCTCAATGAGAACTACCCATGGTGCTTCGCCGCCGTGAACATCTCTAGCTGCGGACATTTTACCTGAAGTTTTTGTCGGATGATAGCTAAAGCAGTTTTGATTTATCTCACGTGACAAACGAGATATACCGCATTGTTTAGTGTCAAACCCGATATAATCACCAATACGAGCATGCTGATTGGAATACCCCATATTACCTTGGTTAATTAGATTATTTTAATTAATATATTCATTAATTATGCTTTCGTACCATTAGCAAATAAAATTATTATGCAGATAACTGTAATCATTATTTAACTTGCAATAAAACAATAAAAATAATATTTGTAAAGATAATACTTTATATTTATAATTTATGTATGTTTTATGTCGTTTTAAAACAATAGATGTAACAATTAAATGTAATTCAATATAAAATTTATATTATCTCTACAGTTAGTTATTCGATAACAACGTTTATTGTTATATTTTATACGAATAATAATACTAAAAAAGCACAAACATAATACTCAAGTAATTTTATACACTTTATAAAAAATTAAAATTTCAAAATACAAATATTTGGTGACTTTATTTAAATTAACATTCATATTATATTATAATTTGCTACTTGTTATTGCATGAGATTGACAAAATATAATTATTCATACATGGTTTAAATTACATAACATTATGGTGGCAAAATTGGTTTAGGCACATCGTTTGTGGTAGCGGGAGGTCGTCTTTGTCTGGACAATACGGGTTCACCCCTGGGTATAACAGCCGGCTCATACTTTTTGTAATTTGTAACTCCAGACGTCTTCTTGGTGTTTTCAGCTCGTTTATCATTTGAATTGCCAGCTATTAATTCACTTGTGATAAACGTTATAATTAAAATGCAATAACAATAATGATAATTAATAAACATGTTGAAGTTAATTTCAATTACAATTTGTAATTTAATGGAGTGTTACAAATAAATATTGTCAATATTAATGAATTAATTAATTTTCTTAATTAACGCAATTCCCTCTCTCTCTCTCTCTCTCTCTCTCTCTCTCTCTCTCTCTACTTTATTTTAATAATAAAATATTAACTAAATAAATAAAATTCATTTTATTAAATCAATTTTACATTTACATTTTCAATAATTCATATTTCGACAAATTTATGAAGGACATAAATGTTCTTGATTAATAGGGAGCCATAGTATTATGGGAGCCATAGCTGTGAGTTGGGCTTGGTTGAATATGTCCATGCCCTTTAGAAGGCTTTTTTGGTTTAGGAAGAAGTTTAGGTTTAGCACTGTAAAATGAACTGTAATGTATATAGTTGTAAGTCTTTCTATGGGTAACTTACTTAAAACTGGGCTTAATAACGGGTGGAGAACAATGCGGATCCGGATGTGCCTCTGCCTGGGCTACCTTTAATTGGTAACAAATAGCGACTATAATAAACGCCAAATAACAATAATGGTGAAATAATGACATTTTTGCTTTTGTATGTATGAAATCACATATGGCGTGATATCACTAATAAATGTAATTATAATTATAATTGGATATAATGATTTTATCAAACTTATGGTTTCAAATGTAATTAATAAATGTATTGATAATAAGCATTAAAATTGGAGCCGGGTAAAGTTACAAAGTTAAAACTAATTTATTATTTTAATTCAAATAATTTTTAAATACAAATCTAGCAGTTTAGGAATAAATAATCGATTGAATTAGTATTTAATTTTGTTCAGTTTGGCCGCAATAAATACTTCAACACGCGTTTGACGGCATTTGATACTAAAATCTATATACTGAAAAGCTATTGAAGTGTGTAACTTTTTTGCCGATATTTAGCGTAGGATTAGCTGATCTCGATTACATTTGGACATTTTTATTAAATTATATTTTGTTAAAAATTTACTTATTTGTTTCTAGATCAATATTTGTCATATTTATTAAGACACTTCTGTTGTGGTGTCACTGAATCCATAGCCTAATGAGTGTTTGTCGGGTCAGTAGTTCCGGTGATAGTTCTTGAGTTTTGTTATTGTTAGACATTGTTGAGGCCTGAGTTCATACATCAATTAGATTATGGGACATATAAATTAAATACTAACATAATAATGTCCGCCAATAATAGTTTTGAATGTATTGTCAAACCCGAGCCATAGATGTAACATGGTTAAGTCTCTTTCAATGCTAATCCTATGAGTAATGTTACGTCTATAGAAGTATTAATTGTAATTATAGATTGATTAATTGAACTTAAAAATTTTATTTAAAAAAATTATTAATTACATTACAATTATTTTTGTTGCCGTAGATTAAATATAAATTATATGAACTTTATTGTAAAATGTTAGATGATATTTTAATTACAAATTATGCTCACATTCTAAATAATTATAAAGGATTTAATTCGCAGGTTTTCTCATCATGGTAATTATCGGATTTTATGTTACATAACTTTTGTATAATAGCCGCAAGGAAACAGTCTCCCATAATATTAGTCATAGTACGTAACCTCTCCCTAAACAAAATAAATATGAAAATAACTTAATTAAAATAAACTTTAAAATAAGTTAGATTCTAATGACATATATAATTATAATAAATTGACATAATATACATTAGCCAATCCATTGTCATAATGTAGGCGAGTATATCCAGCGGATTATTTACACCAATTATAGCACAATAGGCTAAAAAAGTTACAACTGATGACCCACCAGTTGGGGCTCCCGGAAGTGACATGGTCATAATAAGTGAAAATATGCTAAAATAGAATAATAATTAGAAATTATTGTTGAAATATTATTTACTTGTTAGGTAAGAATAGCAGCAATATGTTATCTTAAATTAAAACGCTTTGTTAATTTACCATAATGTTAACAGCATCTGAAAAGTAATTGACAAACCATGCATTTGAACAATAAATAGTGTGGCCATCGGGTAATACATTGCGCTGCCATTCATGTTGAGTGTCATTCCCAATGGCAGTACAAATTGCGAAACTAGCTTGGATAATTTATTTTTACCTTCCATACACTGTATTGTAACTGGTAAAGTCATGGCACTAATAAAGTGACAAGTATTACTAAAATATTATTTATTAAAATTATGCTGTATACCTGGAACTAGAGCCAAACGCTACAATAACTGCTGGAATAATATTAACTAAGAATTTATAAGGATTCTTACGTACAATTGACACATATATGACCGGGTATAAAATAAACCAGATAGTCAAGTGGCCAATAATAGCTGTGCCAAAAAACCAACCCAATTGAACTAGAACTTTTTCTGGTGATTTCATTTTAATCGCTTCTACACACATCCAACAAAACATTCCGATCGGCATAATTCTAGAAAATTGATCATAATAAAAATAATAAAACCTGCAAAAAATATTATAACTATAATTACTTAATTAAACCCATCATTAAATTCATAATAATAGCATTGGTTTCGTGTAATAACTGGCGAATAGTGTCTGCCTTTGAATCCAAGTGCAAAACAGCAAAACCCAGTATTAGTGAGAATACACACAAACCCAACATATTTGGCTTAAAGGCTCGTTCGGACACTTTCTTGTAACCCAGGGTCAGGTTGTGGGGGTCGAGGGCTACCAGTGCTGTGTAGTGTGTCGTAAATGTGGCCGCTATTATGTTATCCGGTATCAGATTCCTAATAAAACAATTGATTTAAATAAAACTAAATTTATATTATATAAAATAATAATTAATTCACTCACATAAACAGGTCGTAAATACTCTCGTCTTGGCTCGAGATCATTTGCTTAATGTCATAATCACCTACCGATTGGTGTTCACTATATGGGGGTTCGCCATCCGACAAGTCCCGCACTCCAGGCTTAATAACACACATTAATATTGTGCCAAATATCGCAGCGCACGATGAAAATAGTATTACAAATGCAAACGTTAATACAATTAAGCGTTTATTTTCACCACGTTTTGTTGCCGTTATACCTTTGGAGTTAAGTAATATGTAATTTGTTTAACAGTTGTTAAATTTACATCATTATGTCTATCATACTTGTAGCCAATGAAGTGACAATTAGTGGCACAATAATCATCATAAATGCTCTTATAATTAGTTTACCCGGAAGTCCAATATATATCAATAAAACAGGATTTATAACAAACATTGATTTTAATATAAATCCAAATATTATTCCTAAAATAGCGGCCACAATGATTAAGATTGAATATAAATTTTCTTTGCACCATGTCTAATATTTAAAATATTAAAATAAGCATTAAATGTTATTAAGTATTTTTTATATTACCTTAAACTTTTCTACACTCATTTTATTTTTTAATAAAAACTATACAAAGTATTAACATTTATAAAATATATTAATAATAACTTGTTAGATAAACTAATGTTGATATACTGAGTTAGTTTAGTTTTGTCGTCTTTCACAGTTGATGCAAATTTATTATATAAATTAAACCAATACCAATCTGGTAAAATTAGTTGTATTTGTAATTAATTGATTGATTTTAAACAGTAATTGTATAATAAATCTCAATGTCATGTAATACTGTACAATTAGTAAAATAGTACTTTTAGATTAAGATAAAATTTATAATACAGATTACTTGCACCCAAACTTATCATAAAAAATATATGCTTTGTATATCTTATTATTTAGTAATCTATATATTTTTATTATTTAATCTACAATTTTATTTAATTAAATTATTGTGGAAATATCCTTTAATTTTTTTAAAAATATCATTACAGTTTATCGTATAAACTTTATACAATAATTGTATACTGTAACTTATACAAAATGACCATAAATCAATTTGCTTTATAAATAGTTAGCCTAAACTCAAGGATAATTACCATGTGTTAATTCAAAATATGATTAGGATGTGACAAAATATACATTGAACTGATTGTTGTAAACATATCAGTTATTTTTTAAATGACATAAAGCAGATTAAATCACAGACATTGATGCCTCATGTTAACATCATATAAATATTTGTTAAATAACTAATAAAAATATTTATCCAATTAATTGATTTGAAAAATATGGTATTTGAAAAACTTAAGGTAAGTTATCATTGGACCATTATAAAGTATAATTTACCTTGTTGTATTTAAAATACACAAATGTCAGGATTGGTGCAAAGCCAACGGCCCGTCGCTATTGATTATCGTGAGCGCCGTTTTGGGACTTTGTTTCGGCTTTATATTGAAGTCCATATTTACAATAAGTCCCGTTGTGTTAACATATATCGCACTTCCGGGCACTTTGATTATCAGGGCGTTCATGATGATCATTGTGCCCCTCATTCTAGCATCACTGGCCACAAGTATGTATACATTATGAAGTATAATGCATTAATTATTTAATCCAAATTGGGATTATTTAATAGGCATTACTGGCACAAAACGTGGTGAAAATAAGCGCTTAATTATATGGACATTTGTTTTGATTGTGGTATTTTCGTCATGTTGTTCAACATTTGGTGCAATTATGGTCTCAATTATAAAACCCGGGGTCAGAAACATGTCTATGATTGTGGCCAATAAGGACAGCCCCAGCGATGGTCAACAGTCCCACGAGTTTGATATCAAACAAATGATCTCTAGTCAAGACGAAAGCATTTATGATGTGTTTATGTTTGTATTGTTAGTAAGAGTAATTGAAATATTAATTGTCTATGATAATTTTAAGGAATTTAATACCGGATAACATAATTGCGGCCACATTTACG